TTAGGTGAAGGGGCGAGGACAGGGACAGATCCAGGATTATTAGAAGGGGGGTCCGGAACGACAGTCCTTGGATGCAAAGCGGACCATCGCTCCTTTGGTGTGGGTTTTGGGGCCTGCTCAATGGCCCCGACAAAAGTGGTGTTTTGGAGAGCAAACAGTGCCCTTTGGTACGTTTTAGAAATATGATTTAACTAGTCAAAATTCTAATTTCAAGAGGGGAATATTGATGTGATATATTTTTCAGAAACCGAAGGGGGGCCAGGACCCCCCTGACTCCCCCTCCTCTAAATCCGCCACTGGGTAGGCCTGTTATCGCAATTATTCTGGAATCTTTGTTTGGCATTGGATTACGTTACTTTCATAGATGACTACCCTCTGTAAAAAAAACTCTTAAACAAATAACCAAATTTAAAAAAAGGGACTAACTGTAAATGTCGAAACGGATTCATTAACCATTGGTACGGAAAAATTATCGTTTACCCCAGGAAAATTCATTTAAAGCCAAAATGAACAGTTGCTATTTCTTCAATGTCTTTTTGCGCCATAGAGGCAGTGTTGGGAAAGTCGGCTGTGGTTTCAAAAATTAAAACAGAATAAGAAACGGTAATTCCAAATTAACACGAGCAATGTCTCTTAGGGCATCTTTTGTTTAAATGACTTATGCAATTCATGTTTCTTGTTCAGGATGCGATGAACGAGTGAAACTAATACCTGTATAACACCCTTTACACTGGTTGGCGTCCTTTGTGCGATCATGAAACTGCCATCGCTGTGGTCGTAGAAAGGTTGTTTTGGTCGGATGTTTTGTTTGAATGTTTGGTAGGATGTTTCGGTCGGTTGTTTGGTCCAGCATCTTTTTGGACAAGCTCCCCATTTGAACCAGCAACTTATTTTCCTAAGTGGCAAACACTGGATACATTTGACATTTGACTACAAAGGATTACTTTCTTTTCAATAAATTTGCATACTAGTAAGTCCAAACGTGTTTGAAAATATATATATGTGTGTGTGTGTGTGTGTGTGTGTGCGTGAGCGCATGCGGAGGTGGGGATGGGGCAGTGAGCGATCAGGTCATGAATACGACCAGGAATTTTGATGAAATTGAGGCTTTTTTTGGCATGTAGATTTCATTTGGTCTGTCAGAAGTAATTTGTGTGCATTACAACGAATGTACTGTCGTTTATTTTGTATTTTTAACAAGCCAGGCCCGTAGCCAGCAAATTCAAAAGGGGGGTTCTTTTTCTGAAAAAGTGGACCTTTTACAATAAAACTTATGTGCACCTAGATAAAATTTTACCCAAAATGGACCTTTTCCTGACAAAAGGGGCGGTTCTTTCGAACCCCCCGAACCCCCCTGGCTACGGGCCTGCAACCGGTGATCTTTTGTAAACAGGGTCGGGAGACGAAACAATTTTTTAATGTGTGGGTGAGTATCGGTGCTGGGGAGGAACGGCATGGGGACGTAAAGAGACGTAACGACTCCCCAGAAACCATACCCCCCCCCCCCCTCTGCATCGATACGTCACTGCACCGATACATCCCCGCACCGTTTCTCCCCACAGAATATATTCCCTTTGCTGAAAATGCAACATCCAAACTCCATTCTTAATTATGAAACCTTGGCGTTATATGTTTTTCAACAAAAGTATGCAAAATTAAACGAGACTCACCTTTTTGAAAAGTCGTGAAAATTACCGAAATAGTTACATAAATCTGGGCTCCGTATTACTTATATGTTTCAGGGCAAAAGGCGTATGCAGCTCTACCCTATGGTATTCTTTCTTTTTCCATCGATTCATAGTTCTTACTTACAGGGTTTTACTCTTTTCTTATTTTTTTCTTTTCTTGTTTGTTTTGTTATTGCATTCTTATAAGCCGGCGACTGTATTGTGCGCAAACAAAGCCTGTGCATTGTCACGTTTTACCGATATAGATAACTAACAGCGCTGAAGTACGATATTATGAGTCTCAAATACCATCTAAAAGTTTGAAGTTTTATACAAGTGGGAGGATAGAGAAAAGCCCAAAAATCTAATGATTAAAATGAGTTTTTTTATATTCAACAATGAAATAGAGAATTATCTCGCTAGCGATGAGGCGTCCAGCAGCTGGGCAATAGTAGCGTTTGGGAGGGCTGTGTTAGAGGAGCGGGTTTTATATGTTGGGGTGTTCCGTATAAACCTGTCTCCAGGTTTATCTTTGTCGATAACAGAAAGCAGAGTCATATTTTTAAATAGACAATCTAATATAGTCAGGTCAGATTACCAAGAAACGCGAGGCTGAAAATAAAAGGTGCGCTGCAACCTTACGCGTATTTAACCTCTGAATATTTTCGTTTATGGGTCGCTGTACATTATTTGCTAAGAGGATGTCTAGATATTTTTTATTATTCTGTTTTTCGAAGGGCCTGTGCTGTCCCGAGCATTTTTTGGTTTTTCTATAAAATTCGATTATAGCATTTTCAATTAACGAATGTCTGCAAACGCATGGGCATATTTTGCACAAAAGAAGTTAAAAACATAGTAGGATTAAAACAATATAAGCATTTAAATATGCTGTTTGCTTCGTACATGGGTAAACTAGATGGTTTCATAGATGACAATATACCTTTCCTATCTTACACATCAACTCCAGGAATGGCCTTCATAGGCCTATAGGAAAGGGGGGGGGGGTCCCACACAAACTAATATAAAGCAAGTGTTTCGTCTGCCATGAAGTCTGTACAAAGTTTGAATCATCAAAGGTAAAAGGGAAAAAATCATATACATATACTTGGTGTACATGTAGTGTGGCTCTCACTTCCCGCTTAAGACCGATAACTCCCAAATAAACATTGTGTGTGGCACCCAACCTAACAACGTGATACCTGCTGGACCCAAGACTAATATCGAACTACATGTGTGGTTGAATGCTATTACGCTTCTTTTTTTTTTACTATGATAGCAGAAGTAGTTTTTAAGGACAGCAATAGATAAAAAACCTCGAGATTGGAAACTGCATGGTCAATTGAACAACAGTGTAAAAAGTCTAGAACCACCACGACACGTACATGTTATGCAAGGAAAAACAACAACACAATTAACAAAAATCCTTGAAACATAGACTACGTTTACCGATCATTCTCGTCATCAACCCTTTTTCTCCAGGATCTACCTTAAGTAAATAACCTCTGTACCACACATTGTTGTTACTACATAGAATATATTATTATTATTGTTGCTGTTGTTATTGATGTTGTTTTGTGGACCGAAAATTAAACATGCTGCAAACCTCAGGGCCACGCACACGTTAAGATGGAGGCTTGACCATTTGAAGCCCGATAGGTAAGCTTGTATTCCTAAGACTGTAAGCTGGGTTTTGGTATCCGATTTGATACATTAGACTAACGACTTTCAGCGTTATCGTGATATCACTAAAGTAAATCAGCTGTCAACCAGTGTTTGTCCTTTGTTTATACCCTTTACAACCGGCATTGTGAAATATCTGCACGTTCCGTTCGTGTGAAATTGCTTTTTAAATACGCATTTTACTGTTCAGTGATTCATTTCTAGAATGGCTTTCGGAAAGTCTTTCCGACTCTCTAAAGAATATTTGTGATCAATGTTATAACATAGAACAGCAGACACAGTATACACGTGAAAATTATTATTTTACTGACCGATAGTTACCCTCATTTCACATAATCTATATCAATAAATCCTACACTGTCATAGCATTTGTTGTGATATTTAGCAGAAAATACGGAGGCGTGACTGATGCATCCCAGCTCTTCTGGAAGTTGTGCGAGTATTTGGACACATTAAAATTTCACGATCAAAATCAATGTCGTCTCATTATTGGATTTTGTATGATACAAACATGCAGGAATCATGTCCTAGGCGAGTGAGTGCGTGTGTGCGTGTGCATGCGTGCGAGCGTGTGTGTGTTTGTGTGTGTGTGTGTGTGTGTGTGTGTGTGAATGTTGCAGGGGCGCAATCAGATACCAAGGTTTTGAGTTTGATATCATAATAACGCTTTGGCACCAACGCGGCCAAATTATTTAGTAGACCTTTAAGGCTTGTCTGCATCATGTGTGGAAGGTTTCAGAATTAAGATATCATAATGAGCGAGGAATGAACGAGGAATACATTAAAGCACAACTCCGTGCATTATGTTTTTGTGTTCAGTGAGTACGGTAACCAATTAGTTAAAAGCGAATGCATCTTGAAAATTCACAATGCAAACCTCAATGCAAACCCCAGGGAATCGATCTAATCTTGCAAAACAAATGATAACGGTATTGCTTGCACCAAGGTGATCGATATTGTTGACAAGCACGGAATTCCAAGCGTTTGTTTAAAGCCAGACAAGTCCAAGAAATGTCGTCTAAGCCAGTTTAATCAAGTAAAAATTGGCGGAAACATCCGTCTGTGATTTTGTTGTCTGCTTTAATTTTATTGTACTTTGGTGTCTGTTTTTAATGCAGCTATTATCAAGCAAAAGATGCATTAGTAATAGCATACATCGTACAAAATGACAATTAGCTGACAAAACTTATGCTTCCTATCCATTTGGATAACAGATTAAAGTGAATTTCACGCAGTTGACAGTCAAACGATCAATTAAAACGACATATAAGCGCTCTGAAATGTGAAATCTCTTATTTCACAAAGACCATTTGTATCTCCCCCTGAGCACTGATGTCCCATTGTGTCCTTTCACTCGGTCTGCATCCCATGAAATATTGAGTAGCTGATGTATGGGTTGTGGCCTCTAAGTGCTATTCCAATTTCACTGTGTATAACTGCGTGTAGTGATCTGTTAAGCTGAACCAGTCTTACGTAAGTTCATTTGCTTTAATTGGTTAATGGAAAGCAGAGAGACGACTTAAACATACTAGAGGATAAATTAGACTGTCGACGAAAAACTTCAAACATTAAACGCATCAACAGTAAAGCATGGCAGTCCTTTTGAACGCAGTTTTCATATTTTTCTGTTCCCTTATTCCGTTGGCCTTCACAATGTCTGCCAGCAAAGTAGCAACTTTCAAGATGTTCAGAGATTACGAGCTATCGGATGGCGGTTCTTTAACAGCAGTCACACACAATGGGCGGCACATGACGCTTGTGACCTGTAGTGGGGAATGCCTCGGGTAAGGGAATATACCTATCAAATGGTTTTATTTATTTATTTATTTATTATTATTATTTATAATTGTGAATTTTAGATGATTCTGTACAACATTGCACATCGTCATATTTTTAAAATAGAAAACATTGCATATTCACGCTTTTCAGTTTTTATAAAACAAGATAAATTCAAGAGATCGAAAACGATTTAAGTCGCTTCTGCATTACAATATAAATTATATATAAGTTGGTATCAACAAAAAAGGAAAAAACATCTAGAAAAGAATGGAAACAGTCAAAACTAAATGAGCATAATTCTGATTAACAACAAATAACATTGATGTATTAAGGAAGAAAATGTATCCAAAATATTATTCATACACACAAAAATATACACAAATATACACACAAAAATAAATACAATTTGAATTAAATTAATTTAAGAAAAGAAAAAAGTGGTACTGTTCAAGTATTTTCATATTTGTCAAGTATGAATCTAGATACGGTAACAAAGATAATTTCATTCTATCAAATGGTTAAATATTTATGACCATGAAGAAACAATGATAGCTGTTCTTTTTTTGCTCTAAAACAAGCACCCAACTCTAGCTCTGTTAAGCGTTTTTTTCTTCTTTTTTATTCTATAGAACGATGGTTGCATTCAGCGCTTTTCTGCATTCAGATTATTTTTAAGAATGCACTTAAAAGAAATTGGAAGTAGAGATGTAGTTGCGGTGGAGAAGTGATTGCAAGAAGAGTAGTTTACTGAATTGTGGAGATATTTTGATGGAAATTTAAAATCTCTTTTCATGGTTCCCCGTGTTGTTATTTTTGAATTGGAGAAAGATTTTCGAAACATAGGAGTAGGCCTTGTTCCCTATTGGTATGCATATTTTTGTCATAAATTGAAATCCAGTTAAAAGTTCACATGAAAAATCCTAATTCCAAAAATCCAAAAATCCATTGGCGGTATCTAGTGATCACGGTCTGTGCCCTGAATACGTTCGAAAGATATAAGCAGTACAAGAGCTAGGTAAAGCTCCCAGGACAGTTATACCAGCTGCGTATTGCAGTGAAAAAACTTTCCATAGATCCCTGCTGAAAATTTGGAAATGTTTTAAATACATGTCACCTTTTGATAATTTTTGTCGGTTTATACAGTCATACCTAAGGTTTTAAAAATCAAGTCAAATTATTAGATTTTTGAATACGTGATTTATGTCATTTGTACAATTGCAAGCAATTGCAAACCGCACTGTTTTGAAATTTTGATATTCATTCTTAGCTAATCACACTAGCAAAATGCTTACCTTTCAAAGGTGCAAAAGTATGCCATATTTGACAAATCTTCCTTTATTTCAGAATATTTCATGTGGAAGCATAACAATCTTAGTCTTGGCCCTTTTTTGATATGTAGTTTTATGTGAATGTACTCACTTCTCTGAGGTGGTAAATAAATAAATAAATAAATAAATAAATAATATAAAATGCAGACATGCAAGGTCAACTGATGGGGGTTAATCACTGGTTCACCGTGTATTGCTTTTAGAGCCGGTTGGGACGTATGCAAGGCAGTGAACTTCCAAGAGGACCGACGATCATGCGTATTGCTGTCAGAGCAAAGGAGCGCCACGAACACTGTTGTCCAGACTGCTGGTACTACGTATCTGGAGGCGAGCATTGGTAGGTCGAACATTAGCATTTTAAAACAAAAAACATATGCGTGCACTTGCAAGGACTTTTGCGATCTGTGTAAAGGTACAATCGCAAAATATTCTCTTGAAAAGCTAGCCAGGGTGATAAAAAACACAATGTGTATATACAGGACGTATCGCACACTCCAATGCATCATATCCCATTATGGATGACAGTGCATTAAGTGGTCAGTTCAGTCTAATATCGATCAGGAAACATTTAAACGAATCTAGTTTATAATTTATCATGATTGATGGCCAGTTTAAGTTAGCATCAGTTCAGGCCCAGGGAACAGGCGAACCAGTCCTCAAAAAGAGAAATACGTAATTATACTGAAGACAAAAGAACTGAAGATTTGTTCTTTTGTTTTTTCATCCCGTCTGGGTCTTTTATCAACACTTCCAAGTCTTTTTTGTATATTGGAGGCTTTCTTGCTACCTGAGTTTTATTCTAAAATTGCATTGTCATACAATGTACATAGTCACTTAGGAAATATTTTACAATTACTGTTTTTATTAACAATGAATTATTATATACAGTAATAATGTCAGAGAAGAGTGGAGCGAGAAACAGCTATTTTGTAAAAAGAGGAAATTATGGCACATTAGAAATATCACAAAATAACACGAACATGCACAAAAAGTCTGGCTAATACGTGTGCTGCCCTGTTGGCGTCTCGCCTATGTTCAAAAAAGAAGCACGAATCAACATTTTTACACTGTGACAAGAATATGGCTTTTCAAGGGAAAGGGGCACTTTTATCGATGCCCCTGAATACCTCACAATACCTCATAATACCTCACGTTGAGGGAAAAAGCTTTTGTTGGTTTTGTTTTAATAGTTATACACTTAAAAAATACATTTCCGTACTTTTATGAGCATTAATACACAGAGGAGATAGATGTACGTACTGTTCACCTGTTTATCTCTCTAAACCACCCAGCAAACAACGTCACATTGGTACCACGTGGTTAATCCGTTGCCATAACGTTATAACGTGGTAGCAACGTGCTGACCACGTGATCCGAACGTGACGTGTTTACTGGGCAAAATTGCGACAGATAGATCATTACTTTTATAGAAATCGTGTGGTATTATTTTCACAGCACCACAGTCGTGTCTAGACTGGAATCGCGTGTACGGCAGCACAGTCAGTGGCAGTCACGTGATCGACCCAGACGGCCCGTACACCGGTCTGGACCCCTTCCCAGTCTACTGCGACTTCCAAGAGAATCCACCTGTTGCCAAAATATACCATAACAAGGCCTCGGTCACCGTAGACGGGTATGAGCCAAATGCCTCCTTCCAGACTGACGTTGTTTACGGTGAGAGACTTTTAAATCTCTTTGCGTAATATCAGATATTTTCATTTATTCTTATCTACAAGCATTTAAAAAGGTATCTAGATATTTAAAACGTATCATATCAAAGTAAAAAAAACGCCTTTGAATTAAAACATGATAAAACAAATTCAAATTTGATGCAAAAAATACCTTAGCTAATATCAAATTATTTGGTTTTCCTTCTAATTTTCTTATTTCTCAGAGTTGTCCATGGCACAGATGCTCAGTGTTATTAACGCATCAACGAGCTGTAAACAGTATTTGAAAGTGAGGTGTATTGGGACGTACTTTTTTGGGTCGCTAACAGAGGCAGGGCACAACATCTACTGGAGTTCTCGCGATGGCGAGAGGATGCTCTACTGGGGCGGAGGAAATCCGAACGGATGGGGCTGCGCATGCGCTCTTGATAATACCTGTGTTTCCTCCAGTGAGTTTTGATTGTTTTATTTCCAAGGATAGCAGTGTTTTGCTAAATAATATTCTTCGATAGTTTTTATAACAGCATAAAATGTGGAATGTTACCGCTGCTGCTTTCAAGCATGTGTGCGTCCCCTAGTCTCGGGTTGATAGGGCTATAGCCGAATATTGCCTCAGAGTCTAGCTGTACCGCCTATCTCTGGTGCTTGATGAAACTGTACATGTAGATAAGAGAGTTAAAGGGTTTACCCAAAAGACGACTTTATGCAGCAACTTAAACAGTGGTTCGTTTCTAAGTTCAAATTACGATTTAGATACTGCAGACTTGACATTTAATATGGAATATTTCAGTTTTGAAGGTATGCCTAGGTAAAAATGCGTTCTTTTTTCAAAAAACTCCGATCTCATATAAGATTTGTTAATGCAGAAGTGTGTAGTCAGGTGTGTCGCTACCAATTAACTGACTTTCATGTCTGTAGCGCAGCTACATTATGTAATATGCAGTGATTTAATTGGTAGTGTCCCTTTGGGCTGGTCAAAGCTTGGCTTAGGATAAGCTTGGTTCTGTCCAAAAAGTATCCATATGTCGGCAATTACTGCATAGAAGAATTTGAAATTTTGCATGCAAGCGGTCAGTTTTGCAGTGCGTAAAATGAGCTAAGTAGTGGCCTTTTACTGTGTTGTTGTTCGTCGCACTTCCAACTTATCATTTCCTATAGGATTACATGGTATTTCTAGTCACCAGGGTCCCTACAGCGGTCAGGGGGACTTAAGCGCAAATCAATTAGGGATCATTCCCAGTCCCTATCGTACTAACTGTGGATTGATCTATCTCCATGGTGATTCTCGCTAAATTGCAATCAACTTAAGCGGCTTAGATGTCTGTCGCGCCTACTAAAGCGTCTAGAGGGTAATTAATTATCGTTTAGCAGCTTCAGTAGGAGCGCCAGACATTTAAGCAGCTTAAGCTGATACCAATTTAGGGAAAAACGCCTTGGAGATAGATCGATCCTGTTAGTTCGATCTAAGTATGGGAACCCAGTCTTATACAACAGGAACAAAACTTAATGCTTCATCAAAAGCTTTGATGTTGGCTGGAATCTAAAGTATTAATTAACACAGCGCTCTGAAATTTGGTAAGAAAGAATATAGCTTTAATTTATATATAAACAGGGCCATCAAAGCATGCACGGCAGATGACAGAGTAATATAGATGTTTCTTTATAGATCTGGGGCTTTGCAACTGTAACACTAACGACGGCAACTGGAGAGAGGACGAGGGCTACGTCACCGACACATCCAAGCTGCCCGTGTCTCAGCTTCACGGAGGAGATACCGGAAGTTCCGGTGAGGAAATCCATTTCACTGTCGGCCCCCTCGAATGTGTTCTCTAGAGTTC